TTTGAAAGAATAATTGAAACTATTCACAGTATTCTAAAAGAAAAATATCGACGCTCAATTGTTTTCTTTTTAGGAATATACTTGCGTTTTTCTTCGATTCTATAATTTTAAAATATTACCAATATAATAATAACTAATACTCGAATTGTGATTTTATTTCCACTCTTTTCTGATTCATTAACATTCAATGGAGCCTGGCAGACTTAACGAGCTAACAGAAATCCCACAATGTGCGTTCGTTCCTGAGTATAAGACTCGTTTCGAATCACGGCGCTTACCATATCGTATAAAGCATGATTTCAAAATTACATGCAGTTTAAAATTTCTGTAAGAGTTGGTCTCTTATCTAAAAAATCTAAAAGGGTCGTGTTATTGCCAAACCTTAAATTTTAAAAATTTAAAATAAATTTAATAAAATTAAACACCTACAATCAATTAACTATAAATAAGGATTTTTTTTACCTGAAGTAGTTTATTTGATAAATAGGCTTGTGTTTGTTTAAAATAACTGACAAATGTTTAAATGGATTTCCACACACGTCTTGGCATCTTTTTGCTTCTGAGATCTTCTGCTATACACGATTTTTATTCATGACTCCCCTTGCCTAACGATTCAAGTCTCCTTCTGGTACTTATCCACCTTTATTTACCTATTGACTGGGCTGCCCATATCAGTATTAACATCTGAAGCAGATTTCTGGGATTTTCATATATATTTTCCATTATTTTATTTTTCAATAAATATTTTTCATGTTTAATTCTTTGCTGTAAAGAAACGACTTCTGAAACAAATCAATTGTTTGAAACTTTGTTGCATTTAACTACATTTTCAAAATTCTGTTACCAACATGTCTTAAGTATGACCTATTATGTGTTGTAGATCTTTGTAGATCGAGTGATCGCCAGAAATTTTAAATTCGATAAAAAGAGCAGCAAGGTTTAAACTACTATACCCAGTGTCTCTTTGGATATAGGGTATAAAAAATATACTTACAATAACCGGAAATGAAATGTTTAAGCTTTAAAGATAACAAGACAAAATTATTTTAGCTTGAATTCTAATATATATATAGTATATACTATATATCACATTTCTTAAGTTTAAAATACTGCGACATTTCAAATAAAGCACTGCAATTTTAAAATAGTGCATCCTTTTTAAAATTCCTGTGCCAAGTTTCACTCACAACGGGTCAATTATAATCTATTCTTAGTTTTCTTGGTAAGATCGAGAAGCTTTACCAACTATTTACTACTTTTTATTGCCCATGCAGGAGAGGAAGCTTATCAGCTTATCAGCTTTTCAACATTCGTATTTTGTGGTATAGATTTAAACTTAATTTAATAAGTGTGTATTTTACAGAGAAAGGATTTAACAGATTCTATGTATTCCACCCCAACCTCATGCCATACTTCCGTTTGCATATCAAATATTAAAAAACTGTCTTGTATTTACTTGTATATCCAGAAATGGTCTGTTTCATGGATTGATTTGCTTTTGAGTTCAAGTTAAGCAAACTCTTCTTTTTTAATAAATAAGTTAAACTCCATTTAAATATTCGAAATCATTTAGAGTGCTTTCTCGGAAATATGACTTAATATGTCAATTGTGTGCTGCTGCTGGGGAAATCCCACAATCTTGAGCTGAGAGCACAGTGTGCGTTGCAGCAGCGAGGAGGGGCAGGGCCGGGAGCCTGGCGAGCCACGCTTATTCCGCTTTGATGTAGCGCTCATTGTTGTTGTTGTTGTTGTTGTTGCTGTTGACATAATTGGACTTTTGGTTGGCTGTTTGTTGGTGGCATCGGCATCGCCCGGCTAGGTGGCTTGGTGGTTTCGTGGCTTGGTGGCTTGGTGGTTGTCACGGCCCAACACTCACTTTGCGGTACTTTCAGAGGCTCGCGCACATAATTTGCGCAAATTAGCGACAACTGGAGAGGAGTCGCTGCGTCTCGGAGTTTCTGGCGCGGCACGCCGCAGCACGTCTTTAAGCCTAATTGATGCTCGAGTCTAATGCCAGAGCCGGCCTGGCCTGGGCCAACTCTCTGGCTTTATTTGCCTTTTCAAGCCTTCATGCCTTTCATCTCTGGTGCTTCAAAGGTGTGACCATACGGCGCACTTGTTGTGAAGTTTTCTTTTTCAAATTGTTTTTCATTTTTGTTTTCTACGCACTCTGGCGTAGGTGTTAATGTGCTTCTTTCATTTTGTTTGAGAGGGCTGTGTCTGAGCTGTCTGGCCATTATCATTAAACAAGTTATGCGAGTGAGTTAGGGGCGTGGCTTTGCTGTGGTCTCGCCGTGCTTAGATGGCGGCGCACAGTCAAACGATCGATATAAATTGGCAATTTGACCCTGGAAAGCAGGCAGCTAGCTGCCAGTCAGCTGCCAACAAAGGCGACGACACAAAAGTGCCGCAGAAATACGCAGACAACAAAAACCGTTATGGAAATGAGCGCGAGGCGAGACGAGGCGAGGAGATGCAAGCTCGCCTGGTATTTTAATTCAATTTGTTGTAAGTGATATATGTATTGTACATTAAATGAGGCATGCACCAAATGTGTGGAGACCGTCAATAAATGCTGAAGATTCAGTTGGGGATATTGAGTGACGAGATTCCAACAACAATACGCAATGTTTTCTCATTTGGCAAAGCTGATGTGAACTCGGGGAGGAAATAGAAAAGTAACATTATTATAGCTAGAAAGTGCTGAATTTTTTCTAGATATAGGAACAATTTATACAACAACTTCCAAAGACTCGATTGTATTTATTGCCTTTGCTAGCAATTCGAATATTAAAATTCTGCAGCGCTAACAATCAAAAATATTGAGAACCATAGTTAATGCTAATTTTTATGTTTCAACAACATACAGCAAGAGTTAAGAATTTAGTTAATTTAGTAAAAAATACATTGATAGACTACACAACCAAGAAAATAAACTGGCCTTAAATCTAAAGAATACACATTCTCGACTAACATTGACTGTCGACATAGGAGGAAAATATATAAAAATTAAAAAAAAACATCTCATAAGTTAAAAAATCCTACAAAGAAAAACGTAACAGAGAGTTCTTCTCTCTGAAAGGTAATCTTAAAAGGTAATTTGAAAAAGAAAAAAAAATTTAAAAAAAAATAATTCGGATCTCAGACCCGGTGGTGGAATATTTTTTAGAGGATACATAGAAATTTTTGCTTATTTTAGTTTAATTTAATTTTATTCTACTTAGACGATTAAAATAAATTGAATTTATTCTATATTGAAAGGAGGGTTAGAAGAGGTGTCCGTTAATGGAGTTTTCACTGTATATCGAAATGCGTGTGCTTCCTGTTAGTCTCTTCAGCTTAGCACATACGCCCCTAGGAGGTCAAAAGTGCACGCAATGTAGCAGCCACTTGAATGCATCTAAGCTTCTAATTAGCTGGCACCCACTTGCAACCTCACAGCAACCTCACAGTTTGCGCCACAAATATCCACTTGAAAGAGCGCAAGCAAGATGATTCACTCCCATATATACTACTTCCTCCTTGAGGCGCATTTCAAGAGCAAATGCTACACGCCTCAGAAAGCGCCACACCAGCGACATGTGACGGACCTTGAGGATGATGCCAGCACAGACATGAAATGTCAGACCGCGTCTGCCCAGACACACTCACAGCCGCCACGTCCCACGTCACGGACCTCCCAAAGCCGTCTGCCGATGATTGACTGAAATGCATTCGAGCTGATCGGCCTGTTGATGGATGATGGGCGTGGTCGGACAGGGGCGGGGACAGGGGCAGGGGCAGAGACAGGAGCTGCACATTCAAAGTCAAAGCGAAATCGCGGCCAAAATTAAATGAAATTAACACGCGTTTAATGTCAAACCCCCCCTCTAGGGTGGGGCGATTCACCTGCCACCCGCACACACACACACACACACACACACACACACGCACACACACTCCACCATTTGTGGATACCACCGCAGCGCTTCTTTCTTTCTGTTTACTTAATGACGTTTATGTGTCTTGTGTCATTTGTCGGTACAGAGGCGGCATATCTGCAGCGCTTCGGCGGCTGTCATAAAGCGTTTTGATTAAAGCGAATGTGCCGCCAACATCGACGCCGACGCCAACGCCGACGCTGACAGCAACGTCGACTGCGACTGCAAGGCCCCAAAACTAGCAGCTGGCTAGCAGGCGGCGTTCGCTCTCTTTTTTTTTAATTCCAATTAAAATGCAGTCGCACTCGTCATCGTCCTGCTGTGCCGCGAGCGCTGAAAAAACATTTATTTTCGGAAATCGAAAAGCCAGAGGAGCCCACAACCCATACGTACTACGACTATAGACTATAGGCTATAGAAAGGGGGTACGAGCAGTCGGCAACCGCCGAAAGTGAGAGTGAGCCATGACAGGGCAGCAAGGCAGCAAGGCAGCGAGCAAAGAAATGCCAAATACTTGTACCAATCGAGGAAATATGCTGACGCTAGTCGGTCGCACTGCAAATACCCTAATCGAATATAAATCGCTTATTGATAGTTTAAAGCTGTCGTTATGAAAATCTTTTCAAAGCATAAACGATTTCATGACTATTGTACTTGAAAATCTAGTATCTGAAGATCTAAAAGAACAACAATTGGTAATAAGAATAATTTAGTAGAGAGGGACAAGATTTCTTAATAATAAATAAATTATTAAATTAATTAAACATAACTTATACACTAGAAAAATCATTATCTGATTTAAAACAACAACAATGGCAATTCCTTAGATATGAGAGACAAGAAATTATATAGTTATAAATATATTTGTCATAATAGCAATAAACTGAACAACAAATCATTCATATTTTAATTAAAGTCTGGAAGAAATGGTTGGTTATTATGGATATAAACCCCTTAACTTTGCTTCTAAAATGAAAACTGAAATTATTTGTTTTATATATATGAAAGATTTCAACGCTGTTCGTTTTAAAATATTCAATTGATTTTTTATTATTCTTTAAAATCTATATTTAGAAACAGTAAGTTATTTACAAACAATTTATATTTATTATCATTCTATGTTAAAAAAACACCATTATGTGAGAAAAGCTCGTCATTAACTACTCGTTTTAATTATGTCATAGGGTCTACTTCCAATTTATGGTATATTTTTTCAGTATTAATTCAAAATAGTTATTGCTCATTTCATATTTATAATATTTTTATATTAATTTAAATTGGTTTTTCAAAACTTTGTATTTATGGCCGACGGCATAAGTTTTGATCATTAGACGATGTGTCAGCTCGATTCTAGCAAAAATATATCCCCAACATTAAGCAAAAAAGAAGCGCCCATTTCTTCAAAAATAAATCAAATTATTCATTAACCAGAATTCACTGACAAACTTCTATTGGAGAATATCTACATATGTACCCAGCTTTGCCAAAGAGTCGCTCCGATTCAGGTTCAATCAGCAATTTAATTCATCGTATAACACTTTCAGTATTCCAAAGCAATAATTTTAAATATTAATTAATATAATTATATATAAAAATTCGCCATCTACTACAGATCAGGAAGGCATTATTCAACTTATTCTTTTTTTCATCTAAAGTCTTTATATAGTTGCATTTATAAATATTGTTGGGGTGAATAAAAAATTTAAGAATTGAAAAAAAAGAGCTTGCAACAAAGTGAGGTAAGTTTAAATATTTGTCCACTTGTTTTGTAGTTTTTCAGAATCCACTTGGGTCGGTCGAAAATATAGTCAAATTGCAAAATCTATAGCAAATCAATGCTCGAAATATCGTTACCTAAACTTTAAGAAATAATAAGTAGAACAATCAAGATTAAATTAAATCGTTCCTCAAGCTATACCCTAACATATGCTATATGCGCTTGATACTCTAGTTTATTTGATCATTTGATTCTGTGTAACGAATAGCTGATGATGCCACATTTAAGGGTATTTGGAGGAGGGAAAGTGCCAAACAGCGGCGTCGGCACAAATTCTTTGTAATTAGTATTAAAATGTTTTCCGCTACATTTTCACTTGACTCTTTTTTTTAATGTTTTTTGTTTTGCTTCTGCCGCCGACTTTGTTGTGCCTCCCTGGGCATTGGGCTACACATGTACGGGCAGAATGCAGATTCGGTCGCAGTCGCAGTCACAGTCACTCACTCATTCAGTTAGTCAGTCAGTCAGTCAATTTGTCTATGCGCCCGAGGGCTCGATTGCTGACTGCTGACTGCTGACTGCCGACTGGCTTCGACTCGAGCTGCTGCTGGCTTGCTTCGCGCATGATTGAAGGCAACATGTGTTTCGGAAATTATGCAAAATTGCCTCCTTGCCACTGCCACGGCCCCGGCCCCGGCCCCGGCCACAGCCAAGCCATAGCCATAGTCGGAGCTAGCCAGATAGCCAGCTAGGCATCCACGACTGCCACAACTGCCACGGCTGCCAGGCAGGCAGTCAGCCAAAGAGGCTGGCAGCCGAAAACAGTTCTTCCTATGAATGCGATTGCATTCAGTGCAGCTCCCGGCTGTCAAGCATCTCGCTCTCTCCCTCTCTCTCTCTCTCCATCGCTTTCTTGTCAACATTTTGCAGCTTTTGCATATTTCTCTGCTCATTATCATTTGTTTAGTTGCCGCCGCGCAGTTCATTTCATAAACAATTAATAATGCTTAAGCGCAACTTGGCGTTGACAGGCGCAGCCAGAAATGCCAACAAGAAATGCGACAACAACCCGCTGCTACTATATAGGGGATATAAGAGTACTCGCACTATATGTATATGCTGATCTAGGAATCTCTGGCGCGCCTATTTGGTCAATTTTTTGGTTGTTAGCCCATTTGTTTGGCTTAAGTTGCGTACAACGAACGGAAATGATTGCAACGCCAATGTTGTTGGACATGCCGGCAGCAACCGCAACAACAGCAGCATCCTCAACAGCAACAACAACAACAACTAAATTAAATGCCAAGCTTTGCCGACCAACAAAAAATGTTGTTGTATCAATTAGTTTGGTGAGAAGCTGAAAAAAAAAGACTTGGGTTTCATAATTTTAGAGCAATGGACTTTGGAGTTTACAGAAGGGCTTATCTGTTTTAGTGGGGTTATCTATAAATAAGATAAAAAAAGCTTTTCCTTTTAAAATAAAAGAGTTTAGCCATTCTGGCTTATTTGTGGCTTTTCTTTATGTTTTCGTGGAGTACTCTATAGTAAGACATCCACTAATAAGATCAAACAAGCTTTTCCTTTTAAAATTAAAGAGGCTTTTCTCTATATTTTAGTGGGCTACTCTATAGTAAGACTTCTACTAATAAGATCAAACAAACATTTCCTTTTAAAATAAAAAAGAAATAGCCCACAAAATAAGGAGAATTTTAAAAAGTTCCGCAGCTGCTCGCTGTTTGTGAAATTGAAAAATAAATTGGTTCCTTTCGAATGGAAATCTTTTTAGTTGTTATGAAAACTATTTGAGCGGAGACTATTAAAATAATTACAATTTTAACGACTTAATCAGGGCTAAGTGTGTTTGCAGACTCATTCAGGGACTCTCCTGGATTCCCAACCAACTGCTAAGAGTATATTGGCCAATAATTGAATTGATGAACTTTATAGCTTGAACACATTGTGGTAGCCCATGTGCTATATAAATCTGATGTTATGCAGCTGTGCATGAACTTGTTTTATCACCTCATAACACCAACAGCAACAACAACAATAGCAGCAACAAGAAGAAACAAGACTATGCCACAACAGGCCACAAGAAAATTCACGAAACATGCGTGGAACTCTGGACTGATTGAATGCCTTGCCAGCATTTGATTTGTTTAGAAAATAAAGCACACACACACACACAGACACTCATGTATATATGCATATGTACATATATGTATGTATAAATACTCGTATGTACGCGTATATACAAATATCAACAGCAACACCAACATTATCACAAACTGATGCCAAACTTTTCTGGATGCTGCCGCATTTGTTGCTGTTGTTGTTGTTGCCATGCCTCAATGGGCATGAATCACATTGCGGCGTTGCCGTTTAGCATTTAGACAGATGGGTGGTGGGTGTATGGCGCCAACTTGGCCCCGTTTATTGGGCGGGATTTGCTTAATTAGCACTCAGCGAAGAGCAACAACACACACACAATTGGAACTCACAAAGAATGCTGCCGCATTGAACTTGCAGCTGTTGAATGTGAATGAGTCTGTTGCAGGATGTGTGTGTGGCAGGGAATGTGCCACTTGTGCTAGAAATTCTAGAACTTAAATTAACTGCCGGCCTACATGCAAGTTAGAAAAGCATACTTAAAAGACAGCAACCAAGGCCATTCAGAGATACGCGTTTCTCTCTTAAGCTCGCCCTGTCGCTCTGCCGAGCGCACAGTGGGACAACTTGAGAATTTGGGTGGGCAAAAATATGGAAGTCGGACAGGCTTTTCACACAAGTTAAGCCTAAGTCTCAATATATTCAGATCCATAACGATATTAATAATTGTCCTTTTTAGGACAGATCTTAAATAAAGATTAAAAATAATAATAATAATAATAACGATATGCTAATAAAATTATATTCCTGAATATCTTAACAACCAAATAAGAACTTTTAAATTGTAGGAATACTCTCATTGGAAACTTATTCTAGGAAAACACAAATTGGTAATCGATAGCGATATTTTGTAACCAATAGTAATATTTATTAAATATTTATTAAAAAGTAATAGTAGTAATATTTATTAAATATTTATTAAATATTACTATCGTCTTTTAATCCGCAAATTGTAATATGAAAGAATTTTGGATCAATTTTAAAACTATTCAAATTCATTTATTTTGAAGTATATACATACATAGCTAGCTGATATTCTCAATATATATTACCGTTACTCCCCAAAAAGCCTTTTTAGAGACAATAGGTTGCAAATATAAAGCTGTAATGAATAATTCTAGATACACTTAGTACAAAATATTACCTAGTAACTCTCTTTTAGACTCACAAAGACAGGCAAATAATTTGCACAACCATTTGGCTAATTTTAAAAGCATATCATAGCCATAAAGATACTGTTAAAACATAATGTACTGGCACAACCAACTTCTTTTTGGTTATTTAAATATTCGGATGAATTTAAGATTTCTTACAATTAAATAAAAAATTATTATTTTTAATTGGGTTTTTTAAAGAAATTTTTTTTTAATTTATTCGAAAATGGGTTTTAATATTTTTAGATATTTTGTCATGATTTACTTTTCAAAGGATAAACTTATGGTGGCAATATACAACTATATTCATAGAATATACAACTATATTCATTAGATTACAAGGTATTTTTGAAAGAAATTATTTTTGAATTTATTCGAAAATTATTTTTCAATAAATGATTAACAATAACTTTGTATATGTATATACCTTATGGTGGAAGTATACAAATATATTCTTCGATTAAAATTAAGATGTCGGTTAAGGGAAGGAAGTGGAATTGTAATAGACTAAACTAAAAACGTGTAAAAAGTAGGAGAACCTTGAAAAAACAAAGCGAATTTAATTATATGAAACAAATATGCGCCATTTAAGTCTTTCCGGTTCTATTTCGATGACGTTTTAGTATCAATATCTCATAACAAATCTGAATTTTCTTAGGAACTTACATACTATATTTATATTATACATATACAAGTATTTTCAATTATTACACACAAACTACTAATTTTTCAACTTCACATAGATGATTTCTTAAAATCTTGCGATAATCTAAGAAGTAAATATCTTCTACTTCAACACGATGGCTTAGTACGATGACGTTTTAGTATCAATATCTCATAACGAATCTGAATTTTCTTAGGAACTTAAATACCTTATTTATATTATACATATACAAGTATTTTCAATTATTGCACACAAACTACTAATTTTTCAACTTCACATAGATGATTCCTTAAAATCTTGCGATAATCTAAGAAGTAAATATCTTCTTACTTCAACACTTTTTGATTATTAGACCAATCTGATTTTCTATACAACTTGG